GTCATCCATCTATCATTGGGCAACGTGACTCAACTACGATTACTGACTATATCCTACAAAGACAAAATCTTTTTTGTATTTTGTACGGTTCAAATAGACTATCCTTGGCCAAAGAACTGAAAACAACCTCCAAGGAACCCAAAATTAAACAAACTAAAGACAAAACATAATCTAACAATGTTCAACAATAAAAATATATATACAGACCATATATGTTTTTCACCCCTCACCCCACACTTATACAATAGCACTGTCCCCAGTGTTTGCACAAAATTTTAGAATAGTTCAAGAGGTAAGGTGAAAACACTCATTCATCAGTCTTCCATCATATCACCCCCTACAGCCTCATCACCGGCCTGATCTGGGTCTACCTCTTCTTCCGAGTCGGACTCCACATCTGAGCTAGTGAGCACGTTCTCCTCATCGGTCGGAATATCATTATCGACCGACTCACGAAACTCAGGACCAATGCCAAGTAGTGTCTTACCATGGTCATTCAGAGGGTAGAGCCTCGCAACCTCGCCCAACTGCATGTCAGTAGAAACCTCTCAGCCATTTTGATGGCGCAACATCTCTAAACCATACATCCTGGCCATAATCAACTCATCGTGTCGATAGCGCTAAACAGTGGTGAGAGTTAGGCCAAACTTAGTGTCAGGACCCTTTGTCCGAGAAATGTCCACCGACACTGGATATAAGGGTGCCATATATTTTCAGGAACACTTGCAGCACGACACATCTGTGTAATCAAACCACAAAAAGCATACATGTGCCCTTTGTAAACCCGGGCCTTACGCATATCAGATTTCACAATAGCTCAAATGTTCAGCTTTGTGCCGGTCATCAAGGTATATACTAAACATACCTTGTCACGAGTAATGTTAGTGTAGTGGAATCTCGATATCTGATAGTTCATTACAACTTTCAACCAAACGCGCGTCTCCCGAAGCATGTGAGCATAGGGAAGAGATTGATGATATCTCTTCCCACTATGCTTAGTCCATTGTACCATGGACTGTGGACCGCACAGAGTGTATCGGATGGCCTAGTATGGAGGGAGTATGTTCGACCCTGTCAGAACAAGAGGGTCCGTGTCCTGCGGTGTACCCAATATATCATTTATACTTGTGGGAGTGATGGGTACATTCCTACCTCACACCGTCCCATAATGGGATCGTGCCTCAGGTGCCCAATTAGCGTAAAACTCTCGGACTGTGTGCAAGTCGCACTCTGCTGGTTCAGTGAAGATGAACTCCATCCCTAGCTCCCTAATCCGCCTCAGGATCAATGGAAACTCACGCGCCAGGTTGTCCCTATTAATACAAACATCAGAAAAGTAAGTGGCCTCGGTGTGTTTTTTATACCACACCTTCCCTTCCTTGGTTACACTTTTAACCCCGAACCGCCTAGTTTGGCCTTTTGAAACTGCCGGTATGGGTAGGACATTCCCACTTCGAACACGTTTCCTATGGCTCGAAGTGTCCACTTCCTTTTCGGGTCTTTGTGAACTTGGCATGATTACCTACAAACATAACATAGTTCTGCCCAAAAGACTACAAAACAATGATAAAAATATGAGTGGTGTGCGCACACCACCCCACACTTAATTCAAAGTAATCAGAAGCCTAGGTACTCAAACTTCCCACAGGCATACAAAACTACAACACAGAAAAAACATCAACCACTACTCCTTCCTAATCATACATACAATTATCGGTGCTACTCAAGAATTCATAACAACCAACAGATGCAACAAATTCAAACCTAATCACCACTCCATCACGATCAAAAAGACTTTCTACTCAGACTTCGAATTCCCACAAAAGTTACAAGAAGCAATTTATTTTATTCAAGCATATACCATTCGTGTTACTCAAGAATTTGAACTACCTCCTAACCAATGCAAAATTCCACCACTTTGAACCACATAACAAACCATTCCTCTGCTAGGCAGATTCAGGAACTCCCAACTCACGCACAGTTCTTTATAATCACAAGCACACATAAGTCAAGTAATTCTACTCAAAATTTCGAAATCACCTGATCACCTACATGAAACAGACCAGTTCCACCCAAAAGTAACACCCCATGCTTTAGAACAACATGTTCATTCATTTCCCCAATTACCTCAGATCATGAACAAGCACAACATCCACCCAAAAAAATAGATTACCCAGCCCCAATTCAAATAACAATAAGTTGTTTCTACTTAAGACTTCGAAACACCTATATTAAATCACCCATAGCATTCGACAAACATTAAATATATGACCAAACCTCCATAATAGAAGCAAACATCAACCCATAGCAGCATATACTCAAGCATGCCCAATATCACATGAACAAAATGAAAATTCATACCTGGCGCTGCGTAATTTCAGAAACAACGGAGGGGAGACGAATGGGTGTTGTTGCGTAATACGGAGGGAACGAGAGCAGTCGCACAAGCCAAGGGGAGGGAAAAATTGTGTGAAATTTGAGTGAAATGGGTTTAGGGGACCGAAATTATGGGTTAAGAATGGGATGGATCGGGTTATTTGAAAGAAAAATGGGTAAAACCCGTTTACCTAATGAAAAGTAAAATTAGACTTACCTGGGTGCGACACGGGGATGGCACGGAGTCCTAAAATTCCAGGTGAGGCCAATATTTGACCCTTGCTCCGCGACGCGGCTCTATTACGGAGCTGCCTTTTTTTTGTCGTAAAAGTAACTTACCATCGAAATCAAAATTCCAGGCACCCTCCACGACGCGCCAAGTACACAGACCCCTCTACCTCATCCTGGAATATTAAATCCAGGTGAGGTGAAATTTACCCCCATCTCCGCGATGTGGCTCCTTCACGGAGCTGCCTTGAATCAAAATTTCTTATTCCTGCACACATCAAGCTCAACACTTGTTAGTTAAAACATAATGGGTTGCCTCCCATCCAGCGCCTTAGTTTTAGTCGTGGCACAACTCATTTTTTTGTATTTTTCTCGATCTATCATCTTTTTGTGGCTAATTCCTAGGAATTGAAATATCAAAACAAAAGTAAATAAATCCTAACTATTACAAGGGGTCATGGGTTGCCTCCCGTGTAGCGCCTGATTTAACATCACGACACGACCTATCTCATGACTCATTCGTCATTTAAAGTGAGCACTTCAAGTTCGTGATCCACAACATTTCTGAAATAGTGTTTGACCCTTTGTCCATTCACAAGGAAAGTAGAACTCTTGTCCTTGTTCCTTAACTCTATAGCACCATGTTGAGTCATCCTCACCCCTTCAAAAGGACCACTCCAGCTAGACCGAAGCTTTTCGAGGAACAACTTCAACCTTGAGTTGAACAACAACACTAATTGACCAAACTCAAAGGTGCGTGACACAATATGCTTGTCATGCCACCTCTTGGTCTTCTATTTGTACAACTTAGCGTTCTCATAGGCGTGAAGCCTAAACTCCTCTAATTCGTGCATCTGTGTTATTCTCTTCCTATCGGCTAACTTAGCATCCAGATTTAGCTTTTTAATCACCCAATATGCCTTATGCTCCAATTCAGTTAGTAGGTGTCAAGTTTTTCCGAATACCATTTGATAAGGAGAAGTCCCTATCAGTGTCTTGTATGCATTCCGGTTTTCCCACAATACGTAATCTATCTTGTCATTCCAATCTTTTCTTTGGCATTCACCGTCTTCTGGAGAATCTGCTTGACTTCTCTATTAAACATTTCCACCTGCCCACTGGTTTGTGGGTGATATGTTGTAGCCACCTTATGTCTCACCCCATATTTGGCAAACAGATTTTGCACTGAACTATTAATAAAATGTGTACCTCCATCACTGATCATAGCCCTTGGAATTCCAAACCTGGTGAAAATGTGCTTTCAAATGAATTTCATGACCACCTTTGAATCATTGGATGGAAATTTAATAGCCTCCACCCACTTTGACACGTAGTCCACTGCGACTAAGTTGTATTGATTACCATGGGACGATGGGAATGGTCCGATGAAGTCTATCCCCCAGACGTCAAAGATTTACACTTCCAATATATTGCTCAAAGGCATCTCATGCATTCTCGAAATGGTGCCCATCCTCTGACACTGATCACAACCCTTCACAAACATAGCTGCATCTTTAGAAAGAGTAGGCCAAAAGAAGCCAGATTGACAACTCTCCAACTCTTGTGTTACCTCATGTTCAGCTATACACCTCGCATCATCTGATCAGGTCCCTGCTTGAATAAGAAGGGCTCATCCCATATATAGAAGTGTGCATCATACTTCAGCCTCTGCTTTCGATGTGTTGAGGCCCCAGGTGGAAATAAACCACTCACCAGAAAATTCGCAATATCAACCTACCAAGGCACTTGAGCAAAGTCCAAAGAAAGCAATTGCTCATCAGGAAACTCTTCACGAATCTGCCCCTCATTTTTCACATGAGATGAATCCTCCAGTCTGGACAGATGATCAGCTATCTGGTTCTTAGTTCCCTTCCCATCTCTTATCTCTAGATCAAAATCTTGTAGTAGCAGAATCCACCTAATCAGCCTTGGCTTGGCATCCTTCTTGTTAAACAAATATCGAATTGCAGCATGATCAATGTAGACTATAACTTTGGTTCCCACCAAGTATGATCTGAACTTATCAAACGCGAAAAGTAATGTCAGCATCTCCTTCTCAGTAATAGTATAATTTGATTAGGCTACATCAAGTGTTTTGCTTGCATAATAGATGGAATGAAACATCTTATCTTTCTGTTGTCCAAGCACTGCCCCAACTGTTATGTCACTGGCATCACACATAAGCTTAAATGGAAGCTCCCAATTTGGAGCAACCAAAATAGGAGTTTTTATCAACTTTTTCTTTAGCAACTCAAATGCCTGCAAACACTTCTCATCAAACACAAATTTGATCTCTTTCTCTAACAGGTTGCACATGGGTCTTGCAGTCCTAGAGAAGACCTTGATGAACCTCGTATAAAACCCAGCATGTCCTAGTAAGCTTTTAATTCCCTTCACTATGATGGGGGTGGCAACTTCTCAATAACCTCTACTTTGGCTTTGTCAACTTCCAGCCTATTTTTGGAGATCTTGTGTCCCAACACAATTCCCTCTCGAACCAAAAAGTAACATTTCTCCCAGTTTATCACCAAATTTGTCTCTTCACACCTAGCAACAAATCTGTCAAGATTAGTCAAACAAAGTTCAAAAGACTAACCAAACACCGAGAAGTCGTCCATGAAAACTTCAACAAAATCCTCCACCATATCATGGAAGATTGTCATCATGCATCTCTGAAATGTGGCCGGGGTATTGCACAAGCCGAATGGCATGCGCTTGAACGCATATGTGCCATACGGACAAGTGAAGGTGGTCTTCTCCTGGTCCTCTAGTGCAATAACAATCTGATTGTACCCTGAGTAGCCATCAAGAAAACAATAGTACTCATGTCCTGCCAACATATCCAACATTTTATCAATGAAAGGTACCGGATAATGGTCCTTTCTAGTGGCGTCGTTCAACTTCCTGTAGTCCATGCAAATCCGCCACCCAGTCACTGTTCTTGTGGGGATTACCTCATTCTTCTCATTAGTCACCACTTGATCACCTATTTTCTTACTACATCCTTCATCAATGGATTTAGTCTCCGCTAGTGTTGTGCACTCGGCTTAAGCCCTTCCTCAATATATATTTTATGCATGCACAAGGCGAGACTAATCCCATGGATGTCGGACATTTGCCAACCCAAAACTGCTTTCCTCTTCTTTAGGATGATTAATGTTGCTTCCACCTGTGCATCAGACAATGCTAGAGATAAAATAACCGGTAAAGTTTTATCTTAACCCAAAAATGCATACCTGAGGTGAGCAAGCAATGTTTTTAATTCCAACTGAGGTGGTTCTTCAATTTAGGGCTTGGGCGGAGGACCCAACACCCTATTCTAAGGCTCCCATCGATCTCCATATGTATCTACAAGTGCCACATCAAGAAATTACACCATTTCCTGTGCCGCAGCATCCCCATAAATATCATCCCCTACTAACACTCGCTCTAAAGAGTCCCCAAATACAATGTAGCGAACCTCTACCTCAAGATCTATCACAGTTATGGTAGACAACTCCTCGTACACAGCTGGTAGCTTTAATGTTTTATACACGTCGAACACCTCCACTTTACCATGTGCTCAAATAGTCAGTTGCCCAGCTGCTACATCTATCATGGCCCGCCCAGTAGCTGAGAAAGGTCTTCCTAAGACGAATAAGACCCCAGAATCTGGCTAAAAATTTAGCACAACAAAATCTACAGGGAAAATCAACGATCCCACTTGCATTAAAATATTCTCTACAACACCCTCAGTCCTAACTACAGATCTATCAGCCAACTATAGGATGATGGTAGTAGGTTTAGGACTACCCAAGCCCAGTTTTTGTACAGAGACGTTGGCATCAAATTTATACTAGCTCTTAGATCACATAATCCTCGCACATGAATGCTCTGCCCTATAGAGATATGAACCGTAAAGCTGCCTGGATCTTTCAGTTTAGTGGGAAACCTATTTTGGATCCTGGAGTTGCACTCTTCAGTAAGTTCAACAGTTTCATATTCAGTCAGTCTCATTTTATTCGGCACAATCTCCTTCACATATTTTGCTTACCTGGGTATACCCTGCAAAACATCTACCAGTGGCAAGTTATTGTGAACTGGTTTCAAAAGAGAAAGGAACTTACCAAAACATTTATCCTCATTCTCGTTTCTTGAACTTTTGAGGGAATGGAGGAGGTGGTTTCACTATTGGTTGCACTCTTTCTTCTTGTGCAACAACTTTCCCCTCCTTGGGTTCGCTTTCTCTATTCGCAGTTTCAGTGTTCCTTTTCTTAGGAGCTAACTCCTCCAATTGCAAACTACTACGAGTACCTACCACGTTTACCTGCTTAGGATTTGGATTAGTATTTCCAAGAAAACCTCCTTGCAGTCGTGAGTTTTAGGCACTAGCAAACTGCCCGAATTGCTTCTCTAGATTCTGTGTAGCCAAGTGATTATTTCTAACATCAGCAGCTAACTGGTCTTGATCAGCCACGATCTTTTTCAGCATCTCCTTCATGCTCATGTTACCAGACTACTTATTAGGCTACTCCCGTTGGGCTCGTGGTTGGTACCCCTGTGCATTTCCTTAGGGTCTATACTGATTCTGACCTTGACCCTGATTTTAATTTCCACCCCAAGAAAAGTCCAGGTGGTTGCGCCAACTCCGGTTGTAAGAGTTTCCATAATTTTGCTGGCCTCCTCCTCGTTGGGCATTGCCTACAAAATTAACAAAGTTCGGGTTTGTACCACATACCTCTGCACTATGATCATCACATCGGCATATCTCACACCAAGATGGTGGTTGTTGAACTGCATTTGCCTGCGTGGGATGTTGTCCCAATGCTAGATAACTGAAGTGGGTGTTCATCATATTCTGCATAGCAGCAATTTGTGCAGTTAAGGAAGTCATGACTTCTACCTCTAGCATACCTGTAATTTTTTGAATAATCGGTTTCACCCCTCATCCTTTCCGTTCGGGGTTGCCCTGTGAGATCTTGTTTATGAAGGTGAATAGTTCAGCATATGTCTTCTCCAAAGCCTGACCACCTGCAGCTGAATCAAGTAGAATGTTGGTGTTACGCTCCAATCCTTCAATGAAAGTATGGACCAACACCTCATTAGACTGATGATGATGTGGGCAGCTCATCGACATCGATTTAAACCTGTCCCAAGCTTGGTACAAGGTCTCTCCCCCTTTCTGTCTAAAGCTCAAAATATCACTCCTCAACTTAGCTATTTTTCCAGATGGAAAAAATATGATGAGGAACTTTTGTGTTAAATCATTTCAGGTGGTAATTGAGTTTGCGGGCTCTGAGTTTAACCATCTTTTTTGCTTCCCCAAGCAGAGAAAAAGGGAATAAAGTAAGCCTCACATAATCCACATTCACTCCAGCTGGAGTGTACGTATCACTGATCTCGAGGAAATTTTGAATGTGAATTGTTGGATCCTCACACGACAGACCAGTGAACTGCCCAGTAGTGTGCAATAGTTGCACCATACTCTGGTTCAATTCAAACCTTCCACCAGCTTTAGGTTTCTGAATGCAAGATGTCACATTAGTGGGACATGGGATTGTCACGTCTCTTACTTTAAACTCAACCATTATTATTTCAGGTTACTCTTGCTCAACTCTTGTTACTGGAGATGTTGGTTCACTAGCAGCAAAAGGAACCTAGGTACGTAAGTCGTCTTTGCCTTCTCCGGTAGTGAACAAACCTTTCCGTCTTTGCCGTCTTTGTCATCCAGTTTGAAATTTCAGAACAACCTACAACAATGAATTGCTAAGATCAAGTTGTTAACACTTTCTTTTTAACCTCAGGAAAAAAAAATCAAATAATTCCTAATTCTAAAGTCCCCGGCAGCCGCGCCAAAATATGTTGCGTCCAAATCGCACACGCAAGTGCATGTGGTCGTTTAAGTATTAAAGTGGATCTTATAAAGAGTCGGGTATCATACCCACAGGGACTTATGCTTAGAATCACTCAATTTCTCTAAATTTCAACTAAGCACAAGTGTTACCAAGATTTCAAAAGTGATTTAATTTCTAATTCTTAAGAATTCAACAAAATGTAACAAACGCGATTCTATTTCAAAGGTTTAAAAACAGTGATTGGGTAAAGTCCAGGGTTGCAGCTTTAATCAGGATTCATGCAATCAATATCATTTATATGGGTACTTATCAACTATAGAATCGATGAATCACAGGGCTAAATGTATGATCATGGTCTCCCGACCTCTAATCGCCTATGATAAATAACACCTTAACTACATCGTTGAGAGGGGATAAGATAGATTAAGTATCGAGCATTACGATTTCTTCATTTATAGTGACCCAAACATGGTTTCTAGGTATACCCCTATCCTAGATACAAATTAACCCTAGTTATTTACAATTAATCATGCTCATTATGTCCCACGTTCTATCCTCTTATTCCTTTCCCGAGTTCAATTTGGACAATGTATTTATTTCAATGGTGATCAGTCACGAAATACGAAAAGCAAGAACATAAGAAAGATTCATATGATAATTGACATTAACCCAATGAAAACTTAATAGATTACAATCATCATGTAGCCACAGCCCTAGAATTAGGGTATTTAACTACTCATAATCCAAGATACAATCAAACAATGTTCAATAAACATAAAGAGATCGAAAGGAAAAGAGTTTGGGAAAGAACCCTAAAAATGGTGAAAACGTTCTCTTAAGTTGTCGTTCTTAAAAACCCAGAAAAAGAATTTCTTAATAAAATAAAATAATGACCTATTTCTACTAAAAGTCAAAACGGCCAAAAACTGGGGATCAGGAGCGCGATGCGGAGGCATCTTTAAATTCCCATTCGAGCATAATTTAACCTCTTCACGATGCGAGCAGTTTACGGAATGCTCTGCCTCGAAGTCGTTTCTCGCTAATTAATTTTTTAACCCTCTCCGAGACGAGGAGACACATCTATAATTCGATGTGCAAGAAAATGCACCCATCCGCGACGTGGCTGCTACACGAAGTGCTCTGCCTCAATTCGCCATTTCACGAGCCAAAACTAAAACTCCTCTCCACGACGCGGAGAAGATACGGAGATGCCTTGAATGGCATTTCTTCAATCTTCTTCCTTGCTTCTTTTTTACTCGAATCTATTGTGATCCCCATTGTCCATTTTTTAGCTCGTTTATCCAATTAAGCTCACTTACATAACTAATCATGTTGGTTAGCTCATACACAACCAAAAGACTCAATAAGACTATAAACGTTACGTATTGAATTCAAACTTAGCTTATATATGGGCATTATTAGATTTCTAGGCATATAAATATGCCTAAGATTAGCAAATGATCCCATAGTTATGCCGGAATGTGGCAAACGATCCAAGTTAGTTATGCCGGAACGTGGCAACCGATCCCATTCACACACCACAATCACAATTACAAGTATATCATCAAGATCATATATTTAAGTCATGATTTCATGGCATTCATCAATTCTCTATCTCATTACAACAAGTGCGATCAACATTGCAACATAAACAAATACACTAGCATCATAATCAAGCAAGAACAAACATACGTCACACAATCATAGAATCACAACCATCACCTACTGATTATTCATCAAGATGCCTCATGCAAACCCTAATTCAGCCATACTAAGCCTTAATTCATCGTCTAAGGCTTCTTTTTAGGGTTTTGGAATCATGAAGTATTTGGTGCATGAAGGTTTCCGCACAAATCCTACCATTGATTTACATATATTACACAATGAGCACAAATTTAAACTACTCAATTCATAAAACCTAGCCTACCTGGGCGCCAAGCAGTTGCACGGAGATTTGACTTCGATTTTGATTTTTTGGGATTTGGAACGGTAGATTTGGCCAAGAGTTCGTAAGATTTCACCATCCTCACGCTAGAAATCTCATTCTCATTACTTCCCAAGCTTAGAGCAGCTTTTCTGAG